CCCCAAAACCCCAAAACCCCAAAACCCCTATACAAAGTATAAAATTTTGAATTAATGATTTTTGATATTTAAAATTTTCTTATTTTATTAAAAGCAATATTATAAATAAAACTATGTCGAAAGCTGGTAAAGATTCAAAAGCAGATAAAAAGGCAGCAAAGGAGTCAGACCACCCAGATGCCTCTTACATCAAAAGAGAAGATATCGGAGTAGTAGTTGCCAAGGGGCTTGCAGTAATGTACAAAACTCAGCCCAAGAACCCAGTCGACTTCCTTGCCAAGTGGCTTCTCAATTACGCCTAAGTTGAGAAGAAGGTGCTGCTAAAGCAAGAACATGAAGACAAGGTTAGGGAGCTCAAGGATAAGCTTGAGTACCAGGCAAGCGTGCGCAGGACCGAGAATGCCCACAAGCTGAAGGAGGTCTATGATGAGGAAGAGAAAGTTAATCTGTTTAGGGAGAAGATTGGCCTCTCATCTGATCTCAACGACCAGTTACAGGATCTAGTTAGTTTCTTGAAGAAGAAAACTAGTGCTACAGCTGTATATATCGGTAAACTTGTCTCACCTAAAAGACCTATTGGTGAAGGAGATGATGATAATTCCCATGTAGATAATGATTCTCCCTAGATAATTCATTTCACTAATGCTACAGATGGTCATGATTACTTAGTGGATAAAATACTATAATAAACTCAAGGTCTCACTTTCGATGTATTTAAGGATGATGAACCAGTTGAAGAGGAGAGAGTTTTGGATGAAGGTGAAGAGGGTTACTAAGAATAGCAAGAAAGACTTGCCAAGGCAAAAGAGCAACCCAATGAAATTCTACCAAAGTTTGTGTATGTAAAGGAGGTAGTGAGAGAACCAAGGATGCATTTCTTTAAGGTGCCAAAGCTAGGTTCTTTCATGGCAATAAGATTGGAATACTAAAGTTGCTTGTTCGAAGAATCTCTAGCAGTGGCAGTCAGTGATTATGTTGATGTCATGAACAAGAAGAGAGAACAGGATGATGAAAAGAGATAGTATTATGAGAAATTAGAGGAGGAGAAGGGAGATGGTGACGAGACTATTGATCAACATCATGATAAATAATGGGAAGAAATTAAGCCACAACCATACAAGACTAAAAAGATCCAGTATGTCGTTTGCTTGAATACTCTAGGCTAAGATAGAGAGTTCACTGATGAAGAGAAGAAGACTGCTCTCCGAACAGTCAGAGACTATAGAGATAGATGGGAGCAGGTTGAATAGGATAATCTGATGGAAGATATTAGAAAGAGAGTAAAGGACATCGCCCATGATAAAGTATACAGAGAACATCACGAGCAGATGGACACCTAAGCTCTTGAGAAATAAATCGAAGAGCAACTTCAACCAAAGGAAGGCGAGGATCCAGTTGATGACGATACCAAGCATTTATTAGCAAAGAAGCTAAGATTCAAATTGCTCACTAAAGGCTTTTATGCGCCAGGACAAGTCGTTCCAAAGAAGAAGAAAAAGTGAGGCTTGAGCTATCTCTAATTATGATAAAGTTTAGACTATATTTAAATGCACTTTATTTAAATAAATTTAATAATTGAAAATTAATTATTTTCATAATGGACCCAAAGAAGCAGTAGTAACAGCCAGGAAAAAGTGCTCCTCCTGAAGACCACAAGGCAGATGCACCTCATGATGGCCCTTAGTATCATCCCTTGACTCCTGAATAGTGGAAGAGAAAGATCATGGCCTTTAGGAAGTTAAACGTTATAAAGATGGGCCGTGTCTTCTAGACTGTATTTTATTTGCTCGGATATCTCCGTGAAGACATCTGCGAAAGAGATACTAATAAACTAGAATGGAAGAAAGCAAAGAAACTTTTAGATGAGGACTTTTTCAAGCGAATTGGAGAGTATAACCCATTTGGACCAAAGGAGGGGCATTATAAGCAATACTAAAAACTGAAATTCTTAAAGAAAAACATCGCTAGTTATGAAGCAGACCAAATCGATGATTATTCAGTTGCATTAGGCAAATTATTCAGATGGCTTCAAAGTGCTATCGAGCTCAGAGAAGAGGATGTAATCTAAAGAAGAGAACAAATCGCAAAACTTAAAGAAGAAAGATAACTCGCTATTGATGCCTCTCAAGAAAGAGAAAGACTTAAAGATAATGACCTCAATGTAGCAAGAGCTGTAATAATTTGCAATAGTAATTTTCTTTATAGGAATATGATGCAAAAGAAGATGAGAGATTAGCCGCAATAGAAGAGGAAGAAGACGGAGAAGGTTAGGTTTCTCCACAAAAATAAAGAAGAAACTTTGATGAGGATGGCCATCTCAAAAAATGGGATGAAGAAAATCCAAAGATAGACATACCCCCTGAGGTTGTAGACTATATAGATAATGATTTCGACCTAGAATCTGAAGATGGCAAAGAATGATTAATCTTCAAAATTATAATTTAAATATACATTATCTAAGTTTTATCAATTTTTCTATTTCCAAACTAAAAGAGAGACGGGGTTTTGGGGTTTTGGGGTTTTGGGGTTTTGGGGTT